AAGATGAGTCTCATCAGCCTTGCAGAGCCCCGCCCCCTTTTCTCTGTGGCCATCACTCCCTGCAGCACTTCCAGCTTTCCCTCCCCTGGCTTGTGTCCTGACCCCTTGGTCCCTTCCCACTGGCATTTAGAGACAATGCCATAGGGATTGTTTTCCCTGTCAAAGGAAGCCACTCTACAGATTCCGATTATTTTGCAGAACATCTGGTTTGCAAATGAGACGATCTCTGGGGCATGGGCTGCACAGAGTGAACAATTTTGAAGACGCTTTTAACAAAACTTGAAATTGCTTAACAACAACAAAATCAGCTCCCCTTTCTGCTGTTCTGGGGCTGGGGAGGTGGCTCCATGGGGAAAGTGCTTGCTCCTCAAGCATGATATTCTAAGTTAGGGTTCCCCAACACTCTTGAAAGAAGCTGGGTGTGGCAGTCTGTACAGATAGTCCCAGCCCTTGGGAGCAGAGACAAGAGGATTCCAGGAACGCACAGCTACCCAGTCTAGACAAAATGGTGAGCTCCAGGTTTAGTGAGAGATTCTGTCTCAAAAATAGATAGATAGATAGATAGATAGATAGATAGATAGATAGATAGATAGATAGATAGATGAGGTGGAGAAGCAGTTGAGGACATCCTGGTCGACCCCTTGTCTCTACATGCACCCACACAGGTGAGTACACACACTCATACTTGTTAATCCCCCCACCCCTCCCCACCCTTGTAAAATAGCTTTCTGTCCTAGGGCACTTGGTTTAGGCCTTTTAGCTTAGCTCTGTTCTTAGCCACTTCCTCCATCATTAAAGAATAGTAGGTTAATTAAGCAGAACATAGATGGCAAGGAAATTAATTGGAAAACTAGTAGAAAATACATTTCAAACTCAAATTTCCCAGCACTTATTTTTTCTTTCAACAGATTTCAAGTAGGTTGGAGTGGGGGGAGGAAAAAGAAAAATACCCATATTTAATATATATTGGCAAGCATAGCACAGCTATGAAGTAAAATTGTCAGGGGAATTCTTTGCCTGCCCTGGTGCTGAGATTTAAAGCCCCTTCATAGCAGAGACTGAAGAGGAATTCAATTAAGAAAGCCCGTTGGTTCCGTATTGACTTTGGTTAAGAAAATAAACTAGGGGAAAGTGTATTAAAATGTTGCCAGACTGCTTGTCCCACTTCCTTCTAAGCTTATGGCTGGCAAAACAGGAGAGTTGGAATTCCTTACATCTAAGCGCTGCTCCAGGGTCAGCTGGTTTCTCCAGGTTGTACCCACGGCATTTTCTGATGTCCACCCTGGTCTCACATAGCCACCTGCTGCCTTACCATGACTCTGTCATAATGCAAGAACATCACAGATCAGTTGGTAAGGAAAGTATTTAAGGTGGTGCATTTAATTTTGTTCTAGGATTTTCATTTTCATTTATGGCACCCGTTGTGTTTGAGACCACAGACTAATTTATGGATTAGTTTTAAGCCCCCAGTCTGTCACACTCAATGAACAATTCTAAGTTGGAGAGAATCCATCTGAAAGGATTAGAATGGGCCACAGTGGGGCTTACACATGACTGTTTCAACTAAATATTGCCCAGCTGCCTCTCAGGCAGGTTGGGTTTTTTTCCCCTATTCTTGGCTATTTGGTTAAATGACTACTGTCTCCAATCTCACACATTGCCGTGGCTTTTTCATTTTGCAAATATCTTATACCTCAACGTGCAATATCTGTGATTGTTTTGTTGAATTGAGGCAGGGCCACATTAACTGTTTGCAGGGTTGTGAGCCTAAGAAGGGAAGTCAGTATTGTGAAAAGAATACCTTCCAGTACTTCACACAAGTCAGTGTGGGCATACCTCACGTCCCTTCTTTTGACTGTAGACTCATAAAACAGCTAGGAAATGCCGACTGTGTAAAACTGCGTACACTCGGCGTTTGGGAGAACAGAGATTGGCTTGGTTTTATTTGTTTGCTTCTTTCTTTTAAACATATAAAATAATACACAGATGCATTTGCCCTCACTATAATTAAAACTAGAGACATGGTTTAGCTAAAACCCTTTTGTATATTAGAGTCAATGTCTCCCATTCAACTTTTTGTGACCTCTTTTTCCCATAGACCTAGCTCAAAGATTTTTTTTTAAGACAACACAATAAGGTTTAAAAACCTTTGTGAGGGCAGTTAGACACTAATTTTTAAGCTATTTATTGCATTTATAACTTACATTAGAAATGTCTACATTTGCCCACCAAATTAAAATATTATAAAATGTTCTAGTGACCACCCCAGAAGCTGATACTTGGGGAGTGGACTTGCACTTTTCTCCATTTTCTGATGAAGACACCCAAATAAATCATGTTTCACAGCTCTGTAAACTCACCCCAGAGCCAAGCTGTCTATGGTTTCTACGTGGTGTCATAATGCAATTACGAAGGAGAATTAGATCCTGTCCTAGCACCCCCACCACATGGGGTGCACACAGTCACTTCTAAAGCATTTTCCCTTCTCTCTTGACTTGAAATAGCCTCTGCTCAGGTCGCGTACCAGATGCTCTGTGAGAAACAGAGTCAATAGCTCCCCAGACACACTCTTAATCCTGATTGAAACCCCATAGCCCACCTGTGCTCCTGCTGCAGCATCTCATCCTTTGCTGCTGGTAGGTTTGCCATTTCCAACTGCAGTAATCATGTTGTTTGACTTGAATATGTGTTTGCTTAACTGTTTTAGAGTGTTTTTCCTCAGTATCCCCTTTTCTCTTCTGTTGGGTTCAATTGATGGATTTCGCATCCCTAAAGTTGGGAGCAAAATGCACTGTGGTTATGGCTGCACTTATTGTCTGCTGCCCATGTAAGAGCTGACGCCTGGCTTCATCTGGTTTAATTTGGTCATGAAGTTGACATAATGTTGTAATACAGGAAGACAGTAAATTGGGATCGTTGGTCAATGCTCAGATCTGATTTTTGAGACTTCTAACCCTAATGTTTTAATACACCCCCTTTTTTCACTTTATACTAAAGAAATTTTTACCTGGTCAAAAAAAAAAAGTTATGTTAGAAGTGCTACCACAAAAATAATGAGCCAAAGCATTTATTGCTTTTTCCCTCTTCTGTTTTGGAAAGGAGCCAATGCCTGCCCATAAAATGTATTACATGCATATGAATGTTTATACAAATATGCCTTGATCCTGCCCCTCAAATTTAAAGTGCCTCAAACCAATGTTGGACTCGGATGTCTCAACTCTGGAGATGTCTCTGTCATCTTTAAGGATCTGGTGTAGGGTTTGTTTCAACTGTACAATTTCCTGTGTTGTTTTCACTGCTATTTTAGGCACACAGACTTGACTTGTAAGTAAGTATTATATTCTTCTGCAGTGTATTTTATGGTTTTCCCTCCTTCCTCTATCCTTGAGAAATTTAGTGATCAGTTATATCAAGCTGCATTGGCCTCTCAGACCTCTGGTAAATTCTGGCTCCTTAGAAGGGCTCTGATTTTTTTATGGAAATAGGGCCCCTGTTGTCCCAGAAAGCATGCCAACTGAAGGGGAACGCCAGTGTGAATTCATGTGTCATATTTATACATCAGAAGCTCCAGGATCATTCAACACCCCCCCTCAAAATAAGTTCTATGTTTGATGTTCCGGTGCATTTAAACATTGCCTATGTCAAGTTCGAGTCATTAGAAGCAATTGCTAGCTAAAGACCTCCATCATAAAAATGACAGGGAATTGCTTGTGATTTTTAACCCTCAATGTCCCACCTCACCAGCAGCAGCTTATGACTAGGGAGCAGCTGGTACAAGAAACACTTAAACTGCAGAAGTGAAAAAGAAAGCGTTTCTAGTGCATTGATGTTAGGATGCTAGAAGAACTGTGTTTAAGATGACTGGAAAAAGAATGCCATTGTGCACTTCGTTAGCTAGCCACCCCCTTTCTGTAGCCAAAAGTAAAGAGAAAATTCATTTCTTGAGTGCTTTGGAGGAATTTTCCTGTGAGGAGAAGCCATTGCCACAACCTGATAGGAACAAACTCCAACAACTTCAACGGTAGAAGAGGCAGGCCACAAGTGGGAGAGCGCCAACCAAGGTGATGGCTTTGTCTCCTGACCCAGCCAGGACAGCAGAATCCTGACCGCCAAACCTGGGGATGTGGTACTGAACACAGGGATGGCTGGATCCTTGAGACTTGGAAATTCTCAAGCAATGTTTGTCCAGTTGTGTGAACATGTGTGTTTTTATGACAGGCTTCATAGATTATAACGTATCTTGTAGAGAGTGAAGAATCCAGGGTGTATGTGTGTGTGTGTGCCTGTGTGTGTGTGTGTGTGTGTGTGTGTGTGTGTGTGTTGTGAATGTGTGTGTGTGTGTGTATATGTCTTGAACATGTTCACTCCCACGGCCTCTCCACGATTTGAACTTACCAGCTAACTTCTTATGAAATAATACAGTAGATGGAGAACCTGAATCCTTATGTTGCACATTCAGCTATGAGCATCTGAGCATCAGCTGGAAAAGTGTCTTCCTAAAAGTGGAGTTGATTCCTGTGATGCTTAATTTAAGCCAGTCCAGAAGCCCCAGCGCCCGGGTGGGTTGGGTCACACAAAGGCAATGTTTGAATGTCTGAATCCATTGTTTAACCGGCCTTCCACCCGAGCTTCTCTGTGCAGTCCTGGGCTTCGGTGCTTTAAGAACCATCTGGCAGTCACTGGGTTTGCACTGGTGTTTCTCATCACTTTGCATGTCCTCCTGACTATTGACTCGCCAACACGTGTGTCCTGGCAAGACCCCCAGAACCAAAGAATTTACTGTTTTCCTCCCTGGCTCGCAGCTTTGAGCTCAAGGCATGTCTTAAACAGTGCGCTCACTTCAGATGCTCCTTGCTTCTCATTTAGTATTGCTTGTCACGCGGTGGTCTTTGAAAGCTTGCTCATATATTATCTGTTCCATTTTTTTTCCATTCTCCCTTTTTTTGCATGCCGTTCCTCCTGTTCCTTCCCTTGCTCCAACCCTCTGTTCCCGTCTGTAGATACAACGGCGACGACAGAACCAGCAGTTCACGGTTGGTATCACATTACTGTTTATCTACTTTCTCAGCGCTGCTGAGAGGCAAGGCAAGCCTGGGAAAAAGAGAAATGCAGTCTTCAAGGGAACTCAGGCTCCAAAGAGACTGATCTCATAATAAATGCACCGTAATGTTTTAATGCTTGATATTACACTGAGTCTTGTCATTTCTGTTGTGAGTTCAGTGGCCAGTGGTTGCAGTCTGAGATGAGGCCTCCTCTCTGGTGGCAGGGTGTCCATCACCCATTCTTCCTACTTAGAAAGCTACACCAAACCTCGGAATAAATGAGACTTCAAAAAATTGTTTTCAGTTAAATGGAAATAAAGTACTATTTGTCTACAGAGCTAGCATCTGAAATAAAGGCCATGTTCCTCCATGAACGCATCCACCCAGCCTCCCCAGTCTCTCTTCGTTTAAGCTTATGTTTATGGGTGGGAAACAGCTCCCCAGGAACGTTCCCAAGTCCATATGAAAAGCAGGAAGTAGGGTTTTAAGGAAGTTTTTGGTGTGTGGTACTTTGCAAGCCAAATAATAGAAAGTGGATTAAGTTTTTTGCTTTTGTTTTTTAACCAAAAGGTGAATAAAAACTGAATGCATAATCTTCAGACAGGGACATCAGGATACACTATCTCCTTCCCCTGTCACCAGTGGACTACCAATGGGGACAGGTCAACTAACTTTTCTTCCTTCCTTCCTTCCTTCCTTCCTTCCTTCCTTCCTTCCTTCCTTCCTTCCTTCCTCATTTTCCAATCAGAAAGTGAGAGTCCTGTTTCATCTGAATATTATTATTACTCAGCTCGACTCTAACCTTGGCAAGATTGTGCTTAGAGCACATATGTTATTTTAAAAGGGGGCTGCATTTTAATAACCGAATCCAAGGGAATCATCTGTGAGAGGGCCTACTTCAATCACTTTACATGCTGTGCGGGGTAAAAATCTATCACTTAAGTGACAAGAGGTGATCAGCCAGCCCTGTAGTGTTCATTCAGCTTAAAGAATAGTATCTAGCCCACACTGACTTCCTTAGACAACTATGTCTGAGAATTTAGAAGTTGGAAACCTGTGAGTCAAACCTATATTGGGCTGTTGTTGGAGCCTTAGTCTGGGTCAGCTCAGCAAGGTGTTCACGTTCTCTCTCTCTCTCTCTCTCTCTCTCTCTCTCTCTCTCTCTCTCTCTCTCTCTCTCTCTCAAAGCAACACAGACTTAGATAGGAAATGATGGGTCTCTCCAACCTACTCGCACTTAAATTCTGTCCTAATGTCCATTCAGTAATTAAAGGAGCCAGGTATACTCGATAGTCATGAGAAATCAGTCAGTTATAAAATGTGCTTGTTCTAAAGTGATGTCCATAGAACTGGCTACATCTCAGCCACTGCACCCCATTAAACTTAGTTATTCAGTACATTCTGACTTTTACTGATTATCCTCAGAGCTTTAAGGTGATTTTAATGTAGTTCAAGAGATTTTGTTTTATTCTTTTTTTTTTTTTTTTTTTTTTTTTTTTTGGCTTTTCGAGACAGGGTTTCTCTGTGTGGCTTTGCGCCTTTCTTGGAACTCATTTGGTAGCCCAGGCTGGCCTCAAACTCACAGAGATCCATCTGGCTCTGCCTCCCGAGTGCTGGGATTAAAGGCGTGCGCCAACACCACCCAGCTTGTTTTATTCTTTTTAAAGTCCTCTAAGTTTTGGGCTTCCTATAATTAACTCCATGGTCAGGTACAACCTAGGTTCCTAAAAGTTCTGTGTTTTAGGTCCCTCAATAAAATCCATGCACTTAATGTTTGTGGAACTTGTTCTTAAACATCTGGACAGGGTATGCAAACTAGAAAATTTGTCCTCTGGTCTGAAAATGGAAAAGTCAACTAGAAGCCAGTTTTGATTTGGGGCTACTCATTTTAATAAGTCTGTCTCTTTCAAGAGATCGAAAGGGAAAGGAGTCTCTGATGCTTGGATTGGGATCAGTTAGCACACTGGTGGAGGACACAGGGCTGACCACTAGAAGCAGCCACTGTCTTTTTATTTGGCAACATCACTCCAGAGATGTAGGGTGAGGCTAACAGGTGTGAGGAAGTAGCAAACAGCCTTCTTGATCATGGACTCCTTAGCAGCAGAGGACCAGAGAAGTGGAGGATAATCCCAGCTGTTCCCTGCATAATGCCTTTATAAATTTAGTCTTCCACTTGTCCCTGGCCCTCACAGTCACTTCTCAGAGGGTCCCCCACCATTTTGACCAGCTGACTCTGCAGCCCACAGCCAAAAGCACTAATGAAAACCAAAGTGACGTCTGAAATTTTCCTTGATGAAAAGGGAAGAAATTTTCCAAGTCAGTTGTAAAGGGTAACAGGATGTGGTGGGGACTATAGATGGAGGAAGCAGGTTAGCAAGGACATGCTGCTATAGAATGGATTTAATCCTAGTACTAGAGAGCCTGCTTCACCAGACAGCAACCATATGACCGACACTCACTTGATGATGACCTTGAGCAGGTCCTTAGGATGACCTGGTCCCAGGGAAAAAAAATTGAAATGGCTTGATAACTTAGCAACTTAAATGACAAGACATATTAGGTCCTCCAGATGTGGCCATCATATGGGTCTTAAAAGTGTTATACTGGACTTTCCATATTGCTGTTTTCTTATATTTAAAAAAAAAAAAAAGACCTTTCAAGATTTCCCTTTGAAGACTCATTAAAGTATTTTATTCAAGCTTGTGTTGCTAGCGTATGTATGAAGTTTATTCTAGTTGTTCATGTATGTTGACTGTTTGTTCTTACCAATAACTGATTGAAATAAGCATGTATTGGAAGGTTGGAAGTGCATGGGCATGATTCAAAGCCAAATGGATTTTCTCCAAAAGAAAACGAAGCAACAATTCACTACCATATATGTTTAAGGATCTCACTGAGAGTAAAGATAAATATGAGCATAAGAATGAGATTTTTTAGGCAAGGCTGACACAAGGGGTATCTTTGAATAAGGATCTTGAGCATTTGTGGTTTTGGAGCTCATCCTTAAAGGCCTGCACAGGGGAAGATTTTTAAAAAAAAAACACAAAAACAAGAAAACCTGTGTTGTGTGCATGTTGAACGATACAAAAAGAAAGAAAGAAAGAAAAAAACCACTGCCAAATCCTGATAGCTCGTGGTCAGAAGCTGCTGGCAGACCTGCATGGGTGGTTAGCGCACGGGTGGTGTGTCATTATCCTGAGTCTTTGGTGTGTGGGTGCGTGTGACGGTCTTTGTCTGTTTCCATGTGGGCACTTCTTTTTAAATGTCTTGTGCCTTGTTCTTTTCTGTCCTGTGTGTCCCTCTCCCTTTCCCTCCCCTCCCCCTGGCCCCATGAGGGGTCAGGTGACAGCATGCCCATGGGCTGGAATAGCGCTTGTGCTTCTGCTGCACTGCTGCGGTCAGCTGGCTTCCGGGTGGGAGGGCGCGCTCTCTCTCTTTCTCTCTCTCTTTCTTTCTCCCTCTCCATCTCTCTTTCTCTCTCTCTTTCTCTCCTTCCCTCCCTCCCCCATCCCCTTCTCTCCACTCTTTTTAACACAGCCTGCCTTTTCTACCTGTTGTGGCAGAGGAGGCTGACTATCTCATGGATTTCCATATCCCACATGAGTTTTTAAATAGATTAATTCATTCTGGAACTGAGAACCCCTCTGAAACATTTCTTCTTTTCCAATTTGATTTCAAAGTATTTGGCCAGTGCTAGAGAACAAGCCACACCCCAGACCACTGCCTGTCTTTAGGTAACTTCCCCATGAGTCTCCCTTCCCCTGATCCATGACTAGTGTAGACCCTGATAGATTTCTAAAAGCACTCAGTTGTTATGTCCTTATCTTATGTGGTGTTCAGTTGTGGGGAAATTCTTAAGCCCGTTTGAAAGAAGACTAGCCAGCAGTGCACATGATTACAACCGCTATGTCCACCGTCTGTGTATGTACCTCTGTACATCTCTCTGTATGAGTACATAACAATGGCATTCAGAGGCTGTCATTCAGTCAAGGGACTCTGCAGACATTGTATGTTCTACCCAAGAACAAAGCTAAAGAGGTTTACGAATGGCTGCAGGACCTGAAGATTGCGTTGCAGCCTTGATATGCAGTTTGGAAACTGTGTGCTGCTGTTTAACGGCGTGAACCAAATTTCTGCTAATGGGAAGAAGGGAAAAACTCTGCACCAAAGCTGACAAAGCAGGAAGAACAGGATGACTGAGCTTTTAGATTAACACTACCGGGGGCGTCTGAACTCTTATGGCTGGTGGTGGAAGTATCAGTTTCCATGACATGGCCAAGTGATCAGATGTGTGCTGCGTAGGTAAGAGAGAGACCATCGCCTACTTTGTTCTTCCTAATGAGAATGGTACTAAGGCCAGTGGGCCAAGGTTTTCTTTCCTAGGGATTTTATTTAATTGTTCTTTTTCATAATTTTCTGTAATATCTGTATATGATAACCTGATGAATCGAACCCAGGAGCCTCTTTAGGTATACTTGATTTTTGCATTTATTGAAATGGCTAGGATTTCTGACTGATTCTAATTCTTTGAAGTTTTTCTTCTGGTTTAAAACTGCCACATCACAACCATTTGAGAAGCCAGCAGGTGCTGTCAAGAAGGAGAAACACCAACTCCAGATGTGCACAGTGCTTAGCCTGAACCACACCACCTCTAACACCAGAGAAAGCCAAACATGAGTCTCTTCAGAAGAGATAGCCTTCGTGCATAAATTAAATTATCATGTCTGCACCTTAAGACTTCCTTAATTGTAAAAAAAAATCCATATGTAACAAAAGTAAACTTTCATTTGTTTAACAGAGTTTAAAGAAATGCATTGCATGCATTTTAATTAAAAGTGACTAGAAAGAGCTTGAATAGATGATAGGAAATTTTGAATAGAAGAACCAAGAAGTAATTTCCCACTTATTATTAAATCACAATGTTTCCTTTTGAGAAATATTCTCTGCTTCATAAAATGCATCTTTGTCATTTTCTTTGAGAAAATGAGAAGAGTCTAATTTTTAACATGAAAGAAAAATACCTAAGCCAAAGCAATTCTAGGAGGTAGATTTTGTGTTTCCTCACTTGTACACCCAGTGCTATGGTAAACTCTTCTAATTATATTTTTTCAGAAATTATCCAACTATGACAATGTGCTGTAGATTCATAAAAACAATCGCACTGCAAAAACAAATTTACCACCACTGGCCTAGATGGCCTCTTAGTGTGGAACACAATCTAAGCTGGGATTCCAGATGATTTGGTGTATTTCAAAGTTTATGTCATTAAAAATGACAGTTGCAGCTTTAATGAGGTGTATATCAACTGTCTGTCGCTTCTTAATGGAAAACTTTGCATATCAATGATACTTCATAAACATATTTCCTTATTTTTTAAAACTAGCTTTCTAGTGTTCTCCCCAAGGAAACAAGCCTTCATCAGTAAAGTTGCCTACTTGAAATATCCTTGTTTAATGTGGTTCAGTGGGCACCAAGTATGTATGTAGAACACTGATATTCATCGGGCCACGTAGAAGTGAGGGATTAGCCTTCTGAGAACCACAAATTCATAATCAACTACAGAGAACTACTCTATGTTGCTCATTTATAATAGTTATTCAAATAATTGTATTCATTAGTCTTTATACAATGGATAAAGCCAATTATAACTAGAAACACTTTCCACCAGTCAGATTTCAGGACAAAGGGCTAACAATTCTCGTCAGCTGCCTCTATAATTTATTACATTACCACGTTCTCTTTAGTTGCCTGGTTCCATAGCTTCAGAACCCCTGTGAACTCTGAGGGCTTTCATTTTGATTTGGCTTCTGCTCGGAGTACTTGGCACCCAGGGTTCAAGTGAGAAACTATCCTCTCTTAGGACTGATAGTGGGACAGCCTCCTTACGTACTCAACCGGCTCACCATGCTCATTTGGCTTCTTTGTAAACCACCTTAGAAAAAATTGAAGCTTTAATGACCATTCATATAAGCTTGTTTTAGTTCATTTGAAATAAATATAAATGGCAACCCATCTGCCATTATGTATTTCCAGAGCATTTATTTTGGTTGCCTTTAGGCTTTGGTCAGTAATTGACCAAGGAAGACTCTCAAAACATTAATTCAGCAAATACTTACTGACAATATAGTTTGTGCTGAGCTCCAGGGAGGGGAAAGATACAGAAATAAACAAAACTTGTGTCTCTCTCCAAAGACCTTACAGCTGAATTAGATCCGCGACCATCTTCAAAATAACAGACACAGACTATAAGACAGCTATGGTGGAGATTCAAGTTCCTGGGGCAATAAGATGGGATTGAAAGAGAATAGCAAAGAATGAGCAAAGGCCACCTTGGCCGCCTTAACATTTTATGGTGTTTAATAAACTTCCTTAAAAGATCAGAAATAAGAATGAGCAAATGGAAGCCATCTCTTGAGGAACCTCTCTGTTTGGCTACGCCCCTCTTTGCCTCACTTACTTCAGAGCAGAGCTGATGGAGAACTATCCCAGCTGGCCAACATTGGGGTGGACTTGGATACAGACATTTCAAGGTCATTATCTCCTGACCTGACTGCTTTTTCAGCTTTGAGGGTTTTATTTTTCCAGAATACCACTGATTTATGAAATTCTTTTTTTTAAAAAAATGAGTGGCAAATCTGATTTTTCTGATGAAGGCATAACCTGCAATCTGCAGTTAGCAGATGCTGTACCATTTTGAAATATGTGATCCAAGATCATGCTAAATTGATAAATGAACTATGTTTGTCAGTATTGGCAAAGGATTTCAATTTTCAGTGAAAAGCGAGATAGAACTTACATATGTCAGTATGTGGCATCTAAATACATTCATATTTAAGAGATATATCAGAGTGTCCACAGCTAACGACCCAGCTTTACTTTTTTCTTTCTGCATGCTTATTTGAATGAGTGATTTTTTTTTTAAACATTCACCCTCATGTTTCATGTGCTTTCAACAGTGGAGGCTGAGGACTCTTTCTACCTTGATTGTGTGTGTCGATAACGGTTACATAATTAAAGAATGAACATATGGATTAATATATTCAAGCTCTCAAAAAATGTGAGAGATAGCAAGAGATTTGGCTCATGTTTTCTTTTTTTTTAAACAAAATCCATCCTCAGTTCTTAAGTGTTTTGTTTATGTCCCTCGAGGAATGAAAAGAAAAACGATTTGTTTTTACTTGTAAGGCCTTACTCAGTTGCCCAATTCCGCAGAAGAACTGGACAGTGAGGACCTCTCAGGTAAGGGCTAGTCATAGGTAAGGTGCTGCAGTGTACAACCTGTGGCTGCTTTGTCCACTGTGACTCAATGACCACTTGGTTTGCTGAGCAATCAGTGTGGATTCTGAGACCAAGCAAAGAACAAATTTGTGTAGATAATTTCTCTCAGGTTCTCTCACCCACCTTTCTTCCCTATGGTGACAGTGTGTGTGTGTGTCACAGACCCTGGCCTGTGCTTCTGATACAGAGAGAACCAGATGCTGAGGCCACTCCGCTTGGTGACTTGAAGTAATGTCACCATCCTAGATGTGTGATGGCTCAGGAGAAATTTGGTTGCGCTCTAAAGCAGTTGATGTTGGATTATGTGACACGATCTGAAAGTCATATTGACTGTCTACTTCAGTGGAATAGACTAGAAAGCCGTATCGTACACTTTGAAGTAGGTGGTAGAGCAGGGCAGGGAGGAAGGGGACAATTGTCTTGTCACACACCAGGCTGTAAACTAATTATCCACCTCAGACCTTTTTCACAGAATACTGAGCTCTTGCAAAAAGTAGGTTTCATGCTTGATTCCAGGATTTAGGTGTTACTAATCCAGAATAAGAAGCATGTCCTAAAAAGGCAGGAGGAAGGAGATTTAAAGTGGTCAGAGCTAAACAATTATACGAGCTCCCATGATGTCATGAGACTTCAGTGACAACTACCTACAGCTTCTGAAGCACATTGATTGGTCACTTAGTGAATCAGTAAGCAAGCCCTTTGACATTGTGGTGGCCAAACCAAGGCACCAGTGTGTGGCTGCTGATTGGAGCCCACTGGAAAACAGGGTTCCATATCCCCCCTTCCTAAACAGCATTCACTACAGTTGTTTTGAATGACTGGTGCTTGAGGGGCCATCCTTAACTACCTCAGTGAAAACACAAGCTAGTACTCCCCCCATATCTCAGAACACACTGGATGTATTTCCATCTGTGTGCTTCTGTCTACCTCAGGGATACCTTCACTTTCCTGCTCTGCCCCATGTGCCAGGGGAGCTGAGCTGTTGGAATTTCCCAGAGGAGCCACGTCCAGGAATACTCACTGGGTCTGTCCCCTCTTGGACCTGTCTTGCAGTAAGCGCCAAGCTAATACTTTCTGGATAAATGAATGAATTCTAAATATCCGTGAATTTCAGCAAATAAATAGATTAGAAAGGTAGCCACCTACTAGCCATGCCATCCATCTGCCTCTTATTTGTGATAGATACATTGAAGAAGTTGTAAAAACATGAAAACAAAACATTAGCTTTACTTTCTTTTAAAGTAGAAGTAGGTAAGTCCTGCCCGGCTCTAACATAATGTCAATGTAAACAACTACTTGCGTGAAGGTGCTCTCTGTTTTGGCCCTCACCTGAGAGCAACCCCAGATACAGTGACCCTGCACAGTTGGATCTTTCAAGAATCCTGAGAAAGTTCTCCTAGGTTGACCCTGATCTCTCTAGGCATATTTTCCAGACAAGGATCACTCAGACAGGCAAAAGGAATTTTTATCCCCTTTAGGAAAACCTGAGTCAGCCAGGTACCTCTTCTCCTAGAATCATCAATTAGGAGCACTGCAGGTCTCAGCCCTGCAGCATGTTAGATGGGTCCCCACTGCAGTTCTATCAATCACCCAAGTCAGGAGCAATAAACCAACAACTGTTTGTGTTCATAATAATTCGGTTAAATTAATAATTACATCTCCCCCTATTCCCTCCAGGACCCAGGCTCTCTCCTATTGCTAGAAGTCATAAGTCATGTAGAAGGCTGATGAACTAGCGGGCTGGGCTAGGTTGCCTTTGCATCTGGTTTGATGAACTAATCAAAAACTGATTAGCACCTTTGTTCAAAGGGGATGCTGATTAATCAATTACTATTGATTGTGAGCTTGGCTTCTCTAGGCAGCAAAAAGACATCTAAAGGGAGAAAAAAACAACCAATAAAAATTGAGCAGCTGTCATAGTGTTTAAATTTATTAAAACAAAATACATTATTTTTTATGAAGCTGTCTTGAAATGGGTCACTGAAGGGGAGCATATTGATTGAGAAAGGATGAACTTCTCAAATTTCTGTAGCCTGGAGACTGAATTCAATTATAATACAAGACAAACAGGTTAACACCCGCCTTAAACAGCCCATCAATAAATTAGAGTAGGTGTTGCCCATTTAATGCTAAACTGTGATAATGAATAATGCTACCTACTCCCTGCAGTATTGGGTAGAAAGTCCATCCTTTCCACATTAGGGATTAATGTTTCACACTTCCAGATCTTCCCCCACCCCGCCCCCACCCCTCATCCTCCATTCACCAGTGCCTGCCTCAGTTAATGAGAGTTTCATAGCCAGCATATGGTGTGCAGCCCTCAACCAGCAACTTGGGATGCCCAACTGATCCTCCTTTGTAATCTACATTTTAAAAAAGACTCAGTGCCTAGTTCACTGACTCAATTATTGGCCAACTTGGGGGGCTTATCTGGCTCTTCCTTGAACCCTTTTATTTACTTTTTGGGGTGTTAATTTTATTGATGATGGAGCCTCACTCGTTTTGAATTGTTTTATCAATTACATCTGCCATTTCTCAGTGACAGCTGGTGGTTATTGCCACCCATGTGGAATAGAATAGCTTTAAGCATATTTATCCTTCTATTTTATTTTAAAACTTTAACAAAAATGTCTCCAACTGCCTCCCCCTCTTCAGCAGTGGAGGGGCCTGCGGGAACTCTTGAGTGGAGTGAGGTGGTAAATAGTGTGCCAGAGAATGGCCCACAGCACCCGCAGAGCAGCCCATCCGCCCCCTGCTTTAGAAGCAGAGGCACCGACAAGGAATTCCAGTGCTGTTTTTAATTCTTGTTACCCTCCAAATGAGAAAGTGATTTGGAAGAATCCTTCATGCCCTTCACAAGCCACAAAAACGTACTGGGAAGGGGCAGGATTCTGCTTGACTTCTGTAACCCTTGCATAGACGTTAGGAGAGATCCTGGTGAACCAGCTCTTGGCTCCCTTGGTGTGTTGCAGAGGCAACCTGGGCTTTACATCCTAGGCTTCCGTATCCAGGAATTCTCGGGCAAGGGGCAATATGTGGGCACTTGCTCCTGCACACATGTGTCCACCACACGGATGAACACATTCACACATACATGCCCTAGCACAGGCACAGACACTCAGTAGCCACTGCCTTTGGAGGAACTCTTCAGTTAGCACCACATGAAGTGTGACCCTGATTTGGCAAACAGGCTCTTTAATTTCCTTGATAGATGATATGTCGAAAAAGAAAAGATACAAAGAGAGACAGTTAAGGTATGGCCATGAATCTTAGGTTGTGTTATCATTTAGCTTGTATTAATATACTCTACAGCTTAGAAAGTTCTTTCATATACATTTGTTCTGTTTTGCAATCCTGAGGATTGCCTCTAGGGCCTCACATATGCTAAGTAATTAAGTACTAGCACTAAGGATATATTGCCTAATTTTTATTCTACAGAAGTATTTGAGCTCCATGCGTTTGGCTCTGGGCTAGCCCCTAAGACACAGTGGTGAGCAAATAAGGCCCAGTAGGACTTGAACCAGCCTTGGATTTCACAGGCTAACCCTGCCACCCCATAATAACTTTCTAGTAGGGAACACAGACTGGATACCCAAGCTGATCACGACTATGGGAAATTAATCCAAGTAGCTGCAGACGAAGGGCTAAGACAGAAGGAAGTCGAGGCCCGTTTAGAAAAGCACACCAGAGGCCAGGGCTGGGAAGACCTGATGGATGAAAATAAGCCAACAGCTCGGGGTGGGGGGCGTCCTCTTGAAGTTCCTGCAGGATAGTAAAAGAAGGGGTGTTAATTTACAAGTGAAAAAAGTAGGCACCCATAGAAAAGCCAGACAGTTTACGTGGACAGAATTGAAACATGCTCCTCCTGCCTGCAGAAGGAAATGGAGCCCTTTGGTTGAGGGTTCCCAGCCTCGGAGAACTCCACAGCTTCCTTTATTCTGGAGTCTCTTGAGCTTACAATTGCTTTTGGCCCTTTTCACTTTGGTGTGGCCGTCAGGGAAGTATGTGTAGGAGAAAGCTGGGCTCTGAGTGGCCTGTCAGACACAGCTGTGTGCTACCTGACACGAGAGGTTATCTTAATCATGAAGTCGGTGCCTTCCCCCTCAGAGAAGATCCATCCATGCTCTGCTCTGATGTTTTCAGTGCCACTGCTCCATGGAGTCCCCAAAATGATGGATTAGTTCCCCCTGAGGTGGCCCTAAATGCCACTGTAAAGTAATGCTTGAGAAGGGTTAAGACACAAATGTTTCCTTCCTTGAAAGTTGTTCTCTGTGGTATGTACCTGTGGCCTCAGAGCTCCAGGGCTGGAGCAGAAGGATCTTGAGCTTAGTGTGAATCGGTGCATTGAGAACTCTCATGGGGCCCATGGTCAGTGATGTTCCCACACATGGGATTCTGGATGTCCCCCTAGTGCGGATCTTTCCCATAATCCAACATGCTGCTGTTTTCACCATGGAGAGGAAGGTGGGCCACCACCAAACAGACAAACTTTTTCCTTCAGACTGAAAAGCTGTTAGCCACAGTGTGAAGTGTAAGTTCCAGTTCCACAGGTTGGACACTGCTTTGGGGTAACTTCACCATATTCATGATTCCATCCTCACACTTCCAAATGCCTGAGGCCCACTGAAGCATCTACCTATACAGACAGATTCTAGTGGGATGCCTTCTGGAAACACTACAGTCTGTCCTCTTCACCAGGTTCCTATAAGGAAAACTCCAGTGTCGTCCTCGGTGCCTTCCCAGTGCTTAAAGTAGAAAAGCCACCCACTGCCAGGGGTCCTGTTACAAGATGAGCAGGGCAGGGGTCTCTCTGAAGCTGCTAAATGTCCTGGGATTAGCATCCTGTTTCATGAGTCATTTCTGCTGATGGTTGAATTAACTAAACCATGTGACTGGAAAAGGGAGAGAAAACAACATTTTAAAAGACTTGTCCTAATCTTCAGCTGCAGAATATTTAACAT